TTTTTTCGCGCATTTGGTTGTACATTCGCGTTGGCTTGCATGAAACGCGAAAAACGCTCCCCAGTATCGACATAGGCGAGTCACGTACCTGCGTAGTTTGCGATTTTGAGACCATTACCGTCCTTCGAAAGTAGCCTCACTGAGTACGAAGTGCGAAACAGAGTAACCAAGTAATCACGTGTTTCTTTCATCGTCAAACTTGCTTCGAAGGGCGAAACCGGCGTTGAACCGATCGTGGTAAGTCGCCTGAATGCCATAAAACATGCGCTGAATACCTGTGATAAGCACCTAATTTTACATCGGAAGCTGCCTTAGTCACATTTCTTTTTGTTTTGCCTCATTTTAACGCCGAGATTGAAACCGGTGGAATTTTGTTGAGCGCAATTTCTGTTGTAATTTCTAAAGAAAAGTATAACAATATAAATTATAACATTCAAATCTTAACTAATCAAGATTATACCGGTTTCAATTTTTGCTTCAGCGTTGATCTCTAATCACCGGTAATCCCGTTATCACAGGATACGTCAAGCTGTAAATAAAGCGTTGTGATGTTTTCTTTTGCACAATTTTGTTGTTTGCTTATGCTGCGTTTGTGTTCTGTTCTGTTGAGTTGTGTTCTTATGTTTTTACCTGTAAATAAATTTCTTATTATACTCTAATTATCTTTGTGTTTGTTGATCTTTGTTATTGTCCTGCATGACGATATTTTAAGTACCGTGAAATCAAGTTACCTTCTGGCAAGCATGCTCGAATTTTAAATATTCCATTTTTATGTTAATTAAATTTAGGAATATATTAATTACAAAACATATAAGAACAATATTGATTTTGCTTCGAGCAATCGTAATAAAGTAATGTCATAAGAAACTATGTTTCACGGTACATAACGTTTCTCGAGATGCGATTCGATCTGCGAAATGTTTCTTTCACAAATACATAGTTTTAAATGCCTATTTCTCGAGAAGCGCATAGAAAAGAAGTGCAAATAACACGAAACTCCAAAATAAGGTTCAAGAGATTTTTAATGTGTCTAAGAGTACAGGCTTTTTAGATATCCTCACATCCTTTCGGACATTTGTGTTATTTGGAGTCGTATCGGCGCGCAACGCTCGTCTATTTTTGCATTGCACCTCGATAATAAATAATAAAAGCACACGAATCGAATCAACGAATGCGCGCCGATCTTAGCATTGCATTATCTGGGTATCTGCCTTCCCACGAAGACTTCTCTTTATTTTTATTTATTTTTTAAGAAGAAAAAGAAGGCGCTCCTTCCTAGAACGCGTTCGCGCGTGAGATGCAACGCAATGACAATACTAGTTTACACCTTGACATTAGGGGGCGACCATAAAAACCTGCGATGTCACTGGCAAGATCGTGATCGCGCGAATAATGCACGGAGGCGCGGCCGACAGATCCGGTCTCATTCACGTCGGCGACGAAGTCTGTGAAGTTAATGGCATCTGCGTCGAAGGGAAGACGCCTAGTTTTGTTCTACAAATTTTGGTAGGAGCAACATTTTACACTTTGTCATAAGTAATTGCATAAGCAAACAGAAAACGAAATTATGCTATAAAGAATGATACATGTTTGAATCCAAATATTTAAGTTTAAAGAAAATAAAATAAAATAAAGATTTTTAAGAAATCTAATAGAAATACAATAGAAAATTATTATTTTCTTATTGAACTTTATTTGAAATTATTAATTATATTAATTAATATAATTTTAGCAAAAAATAGTTAAAAAGCTTTAAAACTTGTTTAAACCTATATATTACATAAATGTTTTTCTCTTGACGTGTCAAATACTGTGAGTCAAATTGTCTTAGACTACAGATTTATATTATTAATCTTCAATTCTTTTTAGCAAAATTCAGAAGGGACAATCACTTTTAAAATAGTACCCGCGGACAGCAAGAGTGGAATCAGAGAGAGCAAGGTAAAGTCTGATACAATCGTAATACATTTTCTAAAGCGTAATAAATATGTATGATCGTTTAGGTTCGTGTGAGGGCACACTTTACGTACGTAGCCGCTGAGGATCCTTATATTCCTTGCAAAGAAGCCGGGTTAGACTTTGAAAAGGGTGATGTTCTGCACATTGTCAGCCAAGATGATGCCTACTGGTGAGATGGATTGTTGCTAAAAATATGATCTAAATGTATGATAAATTATCGTAATGTTTGTTGAAACGCAGGTGGCAAGCCAGACGAGAAGGGGATCGAAATATGAGAGCAGGCTTGATCCCCAGCAGAGCTCTTCAAGAACGTAGGATTATTCTTGAAAGAGAGCAAAAAGGAAAATCGGATGAAGACAATATAAGTACGCCAATGGGTTTGTTCATTTGATTAAACAATTCGCTTGTCTTACTCGTGTTGCTATTAATCGTAACTCGTTTTGCTATCATTTATCTCATCGAGTCATAAAATATCATTTAATGTCTCTCATGTTCATAGTGTTCACATTGTTAGCAGCATATATCGATCAATGTTGCACGAAATTCGCAGTCACTGAAGTTACTAAAGTAGTTATAGCTATTCGAAGTACATTGACAGAATTTTGCGCACTCAAACACTCTGTGCACATATTTCTGCAAAAATAAATTAACATTTTTCAAGGTATATTTTCAGTCAAGGAGAATCCACGATTGACGTCTGAAAGATCAATGTGCTCCGAGAATGTGTTCTGTTTCAAAGCTGGCATTGTTGAAAGCTTGACACTAATATCGGCGTAAACAGTAGCGTTATTGCATAATGAATTACTGTTCGTTAGTGACCACCTCAAGTGTACTTTAGGGATGCGTCGATGTTCAATTGTGCACGCGGCAGAGATTTTGTGTCCGAGGTGGTTACCCGCTAACCCGGTAAGCTAATCCCGGCTGCGCTGCTTTAATGGATGGATGGCCTGACGACCTAACCGTCGGTTAGGCTTGTGTTCTGTTCCAGTGCCTTTGCCCGCATTGTGCCCCCGTCCCAGTACCTCTTTGCACGCCTCGCCCACAAAGTGCAACTTGCAGGGAATTAAAACTAAAAAAATCATGTATGACGCAGCAGAAAACGACGACTTCGACCGGGAAGAGGTACCGACCTACGAAGAGGTCGCGAAACTCTACCCCAGGCCGGGCCTGTACCGACCGGTGGTTCTCATCGGGCCACCGGGGGTTGGCAGGAACGAGCTGAAGAGGCGACTTGTGGCGACTGACAGTGAAAAGTACAAGACTCCCGTGCCATGTTAAGTTTTTTTTTTTTTTAAAGCCAAGAAACTCATTATGAATAACGACTAGTGCCAAATAAATTGAATTCACTAAACGGAGCAACTTTTTTTATCAGATACGTCTAGACAGGCGCAATCGGGCGAGATAAACGGCAAGGAGTATCATTTTGTGACGCGGGAAAAAATGGAGGAGGACATCAGTTCTGGAAAGTTTATCGAGTACGGCGAGTACAAGGGAAATCTATACGGCACCAGTTCTGAAAGTGTCAGTTCGCTGGTGAACGCCGGATACGTGTGCCTCCTGAATCCTCACTATCAGGCTTTGAAGATGTTGAGAACACCACAATTGAGGCCGTACATCATATACGTGAAACCACCGACCTTCGAAGTGCTAAAGGAAACTAGAAACGAGGCCAGAGCGCGGTCGACTTTCGACGAGAGCAACGCTCGAGGCTTCACGGTAAACTGCAAACTTTGTATTTCTATGAAATTCATCATTTTTCATAAGTGATTTATTACTTGTATTAATTTATTTATCTTTTAAATACTTTTTACAATATTAATACTGATGTGCATTTATTTTTTTTAATATGAAACATTCTACGATGTTGTATTTGCTGCTTTACTAACAATCTCATTTCATTTTAGGACGAAGAATTCCGAGAAATTCTGCACAGCGCAGAAAGAATAGAATTCCTGTACTCTCATCTCTTCGACGAAGTGATAGTAAACGCTGACCTCCCGATGGCATTCGAACAGCTAGTTAATGCGATTCATCGAGTGGAGTCTGAGCCGCTTTGGGTACCAGCTTCGTGGGTGCAGTAAACGGGCGATCTTCGTGATTCGAAAGACCAAGTATCCGGAAAAAAAAAAATCAAAAGAGAAAATTTCGTTGTTGGAGACGGGCGATTACTCGTCGCTCTTCTCGCTGGACGACGCTTTCCTTCCGCTTCCGGTTCCCGAAGAAGTCGCGTGCACTTCTCGTCTCTATCAACCCACCGAATTGCAATTTATTACCTAGTATTATCGCGTCTTTACAGCCGTAAAGATTTCGCACGTCAAACGTTTGCGACAGTCTTTATCGGTTTCAAAGACGCATTAAACGAGATTTTCTATTATCGGATGCTACTGTTCATTGTTGGCAATCGCTGTAATCATTCACTCGTGACGATTTATCGCTCGCGAGAGGAAACGCGACGCTCGTTTCCTCGATGACGTCGTCGTCGCCAAATAAGTTAAGTAGCTAAGTACAAGACGTTGAAGTAATTTCGAAGCTAAGCTCCAAGCGATTCGAAGTCGTCCAAGTCCCACAGTCCTTGTTTTCCGGGTAACTATCAGACATCTTAGTAATGCACTGTGTTATTTTAGTGACCCTTAACTGCCAGAAATTTCGCTAGTGGTGTCTCGTATTGCACGATTGAAAGAAAGAGTGATATGATCTCGTCGCGATACGAAATCGACATGTAAAAAATTCCACCTTTGAGATCACCGGAATCTCGCATATGTTGGGATCAACGCTCGCGAAATGTGTCGAAGTTACTTCGGAGGCTTTATCTCAAAACTGGGAGAATCGTGGACGATCTTTGATCTCGATTGTTGTTAATTGTTGCCAAATAAGTATTGTACCTAGAAAATGCGACCGGAAGAGTCGCTCCACTGTATTTACCGTATTTTCCACTTGATCAGCATTACCATAATATTGCTATTTTATTTTCTTTTCCATAATAACGGGATGCCAATGTGAGAAGGAGAAGGAGAAATTGTTCGCACTATTGAGTCAACGTTGCATAATACATCCTTGATGTAAACTCTGTATGTTATCGAAATATAGCATTAAATTAAATTTTGAATGCGTAATTATGTTTACCCGATCCTTTTTATCCCCAGATAATCATAATTAATATTGCTAAATGATACACAGACTGTTTCAGTCATTGCGCACGCCGGCATCTTCTAACCGTTTAACAATTTATAAATGAGAGCCAACTGAAGTATTTTTCTGGGAAAAACGTCTCAGAACGTCTTTCGAGCTTCCTCTATGAAATAGAAAAGACCTTCGTACAAGTTTGTTGATAGACACTTGACGTGTTTTACGTGTTTTAACTTCGCGTAGCAATTTCTGCGTTCATTATCTCCAAGGTCAGTGTCAGATGAGTGACAGGTTGACCCGGTCGGTGATCCGACAAAAAAATCGCGTGAATACATGTAGCGGAGCCTTATGTAAAAATAAGTGGCCTAGGCACAGTTGGCATCGTAGACTTTCGAAATCCCCTGCGTCTCGTGACAGAACCTAAAGAAAGCGCGCTTCTTTAAGTATCTTGTTACTTCTCACGTTTAACAAGTTCGATTGCTTAACTGCTGCTAGAACTGTCAGATCGATTATTGCGATAGCTTGTTCGTCAACCGTGTATTTTTATCATGTATACAAATTTTGTATCAATTGAAATAATTAATAACAAGAGAAAATTTTAAGCGCTTTGATTCGTTAAAGATGCTCTTTTCAAAATAACTCTCAGTCGTTTCAGAATTAAATAATGTATCATCCGCATGTTGATAAAAAAAGATATCAATGTCAAAGATAAGTATCAGTGAAACGATTTACATTCGATCAGCGAACTCTTCAGCGAATAGCTAATAGTCCGTCACGAACAGACACGAAAACCACTTTGCTCTTCGCGCCAACGACTTCCTTTCGAAATTACGGGCTCCTTCGTTGGAAGCGCCGGCAAATATTGATTCTCGGACGTAAGCGTCGCGTGCGTGCGAGAGTTTGCACTCATATCCGCCGCGAGATTTCAGAATTTCTCGGCCAACTTTTCGCATGCAATCGCCGGCGAATCGCCGTGTTACTTATTATCTTAAACTGCATGCATGTTTCGTTTTGCAATTGGCTGCAGTTGTCTATCATCTCTTGTAGATTACGTATATTCGTCTGATTAACACACACGATATTCGTTACAATAATTTCTACCTCGTTTGTAATGATTTCAGATTGTAGATCTACGATTCTAGATATCTGAAAATTTTATTTATGAACAAGTCCGTTCTAAATTTGTCAGAAAATTTGTCATTGTAACCAAAATATTGTTGCAACTATATTTTACATGAAATAATCAAAATATTTATATAAATTGTGCCAAAATTTACCACAATATTTTTTATCTTTACTATCATTAAATATATTAAGATTAAGTGCAATTAAAGTATGTATCTCTAAAATTAGCATAGTGTAGCTATCATTTTCCCGAAACTTATTTATAGAACGTTCAGTAAGCACTGCCAGCTCGTAGTGTTCAGTGACGTGTATCATTATCTCGTGACGAGACATAAAATTATTCTCGCAATGAGTTATTATCATTGTCGCAGTTCGACGAGATGCGTGCAAACACCTCAGGTGACCGAAATTTAAAGATAAAGGCTCGCGAGCATATTTCGTCCGTATTTACGCCGCCGGTGGCAACGTGACAGTTGGATCACTCTGTCGCCGATATTTTTTTCAGTTCAACGCGCGCCATCGTTCGATCGTCGCTCGTTTTTCCCCGGTCGCTCTTATTTAATCATATCCGATTCGAAAAACGATCAGAAATAGAACACGCGCCGCTCGCCGATCTTCGCGCGAAGTCGCAGTGCTCGTGTCTCCAAGTCATTTTAGCGCGTACAATACAATGTGCAATAATAATTCGGAAGTGGCCGACGCGAACTGCGTGCGTTATGTGTGCACAGATTCCCACGGCGCAATCGCTTGTAGTAAATCGAACATGATCTGGGACATCGTCTCGACGTTAACAGGCGGGCCATCAATCGTGTAGCCGTCCCCGAGCAACGTTATGTAAATGGTCGTCGCGACACCCGGCGATTCTGGTTAAACGATGACACTGATGACTGCTACCGGCGGCTTTTAGCCAGAAATTGATAATTTGGGTAAGTTCAACGTGTGAAATTACATATATTCATGGTCATTTAGAAACGTAGAGATTATTATAATATTTGTCGAGTAACATCACAGAGATCTTAACATAAATATATACATTTTTAATTTCGTAATTACAATTTGTAACAGATATGGAAAAGACAATTCATAAAAAGTATTGAAAGCAATGTCATTTTGTATGAACAAAAAGCTTTCTGCCTTTTTGATGAATATCGCTAAAATTTCACTAGATTTACTCAGCTGTCACGTTTCTAATCATGCATGATGATATCAAACATTACTGCCGTGCAATAAGCCGATCATGGATAATGATAAAATCCGCGCGTGTAAAATATTTTAGAAAATTAAAAGTAAAATTGCATTTCATGTTATAGATGAGTTTTTCTAAGATATCTAAAATCTTTTTGACAACCTTAAGAAGACATACGATTTTAACAAAAACCGAAATCTCGAGTACAAAAGAAATGATTTATGATTTTAAATGTTATATTTTTAGTGAATTTTCTAATTGTTATTGGATTATTGGATAGAGCACGTGTGCCTATTGTAACGCGACGACCGTGTACCACAATGTAAAAATAGAATGGAAAACAAAAAAGTGACTAGATGAAGACCTTGAGCGAACTTAATGTTGTCTGAATATAATTCTGATTGAATATCGCAATCATTACGATTTGCCGGTATTTGCCGAATTATTGTTGATAAAATTCCAGCTGGCATTATTGACAGTTTTCTTGATACAGATAGAATTTCACTTTGTATTATCAGATTATGAAATTTGATTAAATAATTAAAAATACAGAAATAGAAAAAAATAAAAGTTCTCCATATTGAAAAAAAACAATGAATCTGTGTTAAACACATATGTTAAACAGAGTTGCAAGATGAGAATCATGACGGTATAAACATACGAAAATAATCTGTTTATTCGTGGAAAAAACGCAAATTGACGTAAGATTTATTTTTTCCGTGGAAACTAAACTTGAGCTCATCAAAATTATACCGATTTCGATTTCAATTCACTATTAAAATAGCACTCTTCTTTCTCTGCCAAACAGTCTGTCCATTTTAATTAATTCGAAAAATCTGCGTTGTGCGTTTCAGCGTGTAAAGCGAAACAGTAACTAAAGTGCCATAAATCGAGACGCAATTAGAATTCCGCCACGGGCTTTTTCGAGCATCCAGAAATGCGACGCGTCTCCTGAAAGCGCGCGGGAATAACATCCTAATTTTCCATCAGCGAGGCATCATAACACCTGGCTGAAATTTGCGCCTGCGTGATGACGAAGTCTCGCTCCAACCCTCGTGAGACTTTCGGTGCGAGGGTGCAATTTAAACTTTGGCCCAGTAGCCAATCAACCCCTTGACGAGCGGACGATTCGGAAAAGTCGGTCGGTGTCGGAAAAAGATTTGACTTAGTGCTGTTTGCGCAAATGGTGCGATTTGTGTTGCAAAGTTCGTTGCTACATTGTTTGCAAAAGAAATTTTTGCAAGAATTGTATTCCGATGGCTGATCAAGAGTAGAAAGTACCGGTTGCGCAAAGGTAATATTTTTGATTTGATCAATCGCTTATTTATTTTATACTCCCGGCGACATTCTTTAAAATAATATACTTCTTTTATATTATATAAAGCAGAATTATACGCAAGATAATAATAATTTTAACGCGTTTTAAACGTATTAATATATGAGATAATTTATTTCAAAACTCCGAAATAGTTACATAAAGGATACAAGAATTTGCTCTCATCTAAGGTGTCTAATTACATGATACAAATTTAGAACACGCATGGCGCAGTATCTGGCTTCAGTATAGATACTCAAAAGAATGATGTCTTAGACCGTGACCTAGAGATTAGTCCATCCACGAGATTAGTGTGACTCAAAAGGCCATGTTACAATTTTTTTGTGGCAAAATGTATTTAAAGTTTTAATTTAAACACTTTTGATAGAAAAATTTTTATAATGCTATTTAGAGTAGATTAAAAATAGTCTGATTTTTGTGGATAAAAAAATTTTATAATAAAATATAAATAATTGTAAAAAACGAAAGGAAAAATAAATACTAAGAATTTTATTTAATTTTTTTCAGTGTTTCGAAAGAGATCGCAACGTGAGTGACCACGGTCATGATCTTGAGCGGAACGCTCACAGATTCCAGTTTCTTGGCCATCACACCGTTTAAAATCAAATTTAAACCGGTCAGTAAAACATCTCTTTCAGACGTGTATGTGTATTTATTGAAAGAAACTTTGAACTTTGCATCGCGGGCACGAGCATCCTAACAGTGTCAACGACTCGACTGTGCACGCGACTTTGAAGCAAACATCATTATTATTCCAAATGATATCGCGTGAGACTTATTAATACTTATTAGTATCCTCCACGAATTGGCATGTGACGAATCTTAATAAGTTACATTGTGGCCTAGCAGATTGTCGAGGCTTTGTTTCATGTGCTCGTTATGGCATGTTGAAACTCGGCCGACAAATTAAATTGCAATTAGCATTTGCCGCATTTAAATATAGTCATCAGATAATATTCAAAATCACTTTACTTTGTAATATACAGTTGTACTAATTTAAAAAGCTGTAGATAAGATCTTTTTTGTCATTTTTATTTCATTGGGGAATAACTTAAAAAAAAACATGCAGCATAATTAATACTATGAATAAAAAAGCTGAATTTTAAATTACTCTTAATACATATACAGGGTGTTTCATAATGTCCGTGCCAGCGCTCGTGTGCGGGTAGAATGCGGTAAACTAAATAGAAAAGTCCTGTACCATTTTGCAATTTTTGCAATAATAATTGAGATATTAATTAAAAAGGATTAACGAATAATCGCGCGTTGCACGCGGCTAGACCATGGGCTGTACACTCTAGGCATGACAGCAACGAGGATCACACGACAACGAAAAATAACAACATGTATTACTCTTGCTCTTGCCATGCGTTGATATTTTTCGTTGCCGTGCGATCCTCGTTGCTGTCACGCCTAAAGTGCACAGCCCATAATCTAGCCGCGTGCAACGCGCAATTATTCGTCAATCCTTTTTAATTAATATCTCAATTATTATTGCAAAAATTGCAAAACGATAGAGGACTTTTCTATTCAGTTTACCGCACTCTACCCGCACACGAGTGTTGGCACGGACATTATGAAACACCCTGTATATTGGATTAAAGTCAGAAAGTTTCTTCGAATTTTCGTATTTTATTTTTATTGATATAAAAAACATGAATTGTATTAAATGGTACCATAAATTGTATTAAATTAAATACCATTATTTAAAAAAAAGTGAACGAATAATACAATTAATATTTAAATGAAGTTATAAAGGTTCTTCTTCCGCGACATAAATTCTGTCGCCGCTTCCGCGAAACGATATCTACAGGTGCAATGTGCTCGGCCGCTCAGTAATTAGCAAATTATATTTTTAATTAAGTTAGCAGAAGTCGCGTGCGTGAGCATTGTTTCGATAAAGCGTCTAATTTTCTCTGAATCACTCTAAAGCTGAATGATTTGCGTGGAGGAATTTTTTCGCTGCACAAGAAGAGTTCTCACCAGTGAATGCGAGTGAATGCGAGTTTGCTCTAATACCGAACTTGTCGAGGGTGCCGACCTTGGCACGAAAGGCGTCGCGTCTCATCGAGACGAAGCGATTAGGGGCTCGCGTGCTCGGTTTGGCATGCCTCACCCTCCCACAGCTCTTATCGGAACTTTCCCTATATCATTTGGCTCAGGTTCCTCATCCATTTCTCGATCTCCGTCAAATATAGTCTTATCTACTTATAAATGTCACTCATTCGGATGACGTTTTGTACGTTGCGGTATTCTGTAATTACGTCTCTCTATTTTTTTTTTTTAATTAAT